TCCCTGCCGGTGACTCTCCGACGTAGATACACGCCTGAGATCTTGGAACAAGTTTGTTGGCTCGTTCCTCAGGAGTAAGGTACACGTACGCCAGACACCCGAAAACACGCAAGTAATCGACGCGGGGTTTTTTACCCTCCACTATCTCATACGGCGTTTTCCAGCGCATGGACTGCGCCGCCTTCGGGCGTTTCATGGGCGTCCTGTTATAGACGTGGCATGCGTGCTCGATGGCGAAGTTCCATAGGAACGGCGGCAAGTTGGCGTTATGCAGCATCGCCATAGCTTTTTCGTCTAAGGTGCGAATAATCCGTTCCGCACGGCCGTTGGTTTCGTGGTTATGCGGCGTTGATTGGAGGATGCGAATGCCACGCGATTCTAAACTTTTGGTAAAGGCTCGCGATTTAAACTCTCCCCCTGCATCGCTCATCCACATCCGAATCGTTTTGTGGTACTGATTCAGCAGCATGCTAAACCAGGTCTCTACGGCTTGCTGGACCTCGCTCTTTCGGTGCAAGAGCATGACCCATGCGTAGGACGTGCAGTCGTCCATGAGGACAAGAGCATAATATTTTTTATTCCACGACTCGACTGCGAACTCTTTGAGATCAGCATGGATTAATCCAAGGAACTCGTTGGAGCGATGTTCGTTTGGTGGGAACGGAATCTGGTGTTTTTTACCCAGCATGCACCCCTCGCACGGACGACGAATTGTCGGCGAGGGTAAGCTAAGGCTCGAAGGGACTCCTTCGACGTGTGTCCGAGCGTAGCGGAGCACTTCGTCCGAGCAATGCCCGAGACGTTGGTGCCAGATCTGAAAGTCGGGTAGATTCATTCCGACAACACCAGTCACATGAGCCTGGTGCAGATCTAATGATGTATGAACCCAAAATAGGTTCCCCCCAGGGCACACTGTAGCGTGCACCACTTCCTTCGACTTGTTGGCAGTGAGCACCACCAACTTGTCGGCATCTCCGTGCAGAATGTTCCCGTTGCGGCAGAATTGACCCGTCGAAAGCATACGAACGGTTCCGCCAGGAAGGTAGAAAACGGGGTAGATTCGGGTAGTGCATGGTTTCCCATGCGTATTCTCGTGGCGAAGGACAACTGTCCCTGAGCCCTCACACCGGATAGATCCGGACGATGTTGAGACGGTGAATTTCTCTTCCTCTGGTAGTTCCTCATACTCGGAGAAATCCGAGAGTTCGAACGTGAAGTGCGTTGATGCACCTGAGTCAAGCACCCATCCAATAGGATAGCGTGCATGCAGCTTGTCATGAAGAGATTTCTCACGATCGATGTCGCGTACGACCAATGCCTTATCGATGCAGATGTCACACCACTGAGAACTTGAATGTACGCATTGTCCATTCATTACGTCTGCAGATACATATGACGTGCTACTACCAACTACGTATGGTTCACCTGTAAAGGATTTAGCACCAGAAACGTTGTTAGAGGCATCGAGAAAACTGGTTGCGCACCAGACCGACTCGTAATCGAGTGACACCGCCCGTTCTCCGCCCTGTTCGGACGGCTCCTTGAGCGACATACCCTCGAACTCCTCGATATCGTCCTCATAGCCGTACTCGGCGACTTGGACCGGAGTGGGCGCCATGGAACGGCGAAGGTCCTCCTTCTGTTGCTGGTACTCGGCGTACGCCTCCGCATTGAGCCAGCCCTTGTGGCCGGTCGCAGAGTCGTCGACATAAGAACCACCGCCAGCGAGGCGGTCACCGAGCTTCTGACGCTTCTTGTAGTCAGAGAACTTGGTGCGCTTGGGGGAACCTAACCCAGACACATAATGGTCAAAGTCAGAAGCGCGCGGAGGGGTAACCGACGGCTTACGAGAGGGCTCCTCTACCGGCTCGATGCGAGCCGACAGAGGCGGGGACGCTGAGGGGCCCATGGAGAGCCGCTGAATAAGCGGTGTCTCCCCCGCGAACGCGGGCAACTCGGCGCGCGTTCCCTCGAAGGTGGGCACAAGGCCCTGGTCCCGCTGGCGCTTAAGTGCGCCTGCGGTTCCGTGAGGGGGCGCCGGAGCGCTGCCACGGCCATGATAGGCTGTCGCGGGTTGGTGGGACCGCTTGCGCGGATCGGGGGTCGGTTCGGAGAAAACCGGTGGAGAGTATGAGGGGCCAGACGGCCCAGAAGCGACGTGCGCGACGTGGTAGACGGGAGCCGGCGTGTTAAACGTTGCCGAGTAGTTGGCAGCGGCAGGTGCGGCACTCTGCGGCGCCGGGGATGGTGTCGCGTTGGCAGGAGCCGACAACGAAGCCGCGTTAGCAGCCGCCGGCCTCTGTTGCTGCTGCTGTTGCTGCTGCGCCTGATGCTCCTTGCGCTCCTTCTTGGAAGGACGCTTCTTCTTGCCGTCGGATGATGACTGGCCGTTGTACTGCTTCGTACTGGAGCTGGCCTTGTTGGCTTGCTCCTCCTTCACCTGAGGCACCTTCTTCTTCTTCTGTCCGGAAGATCGTAGCTCCCAAGAAGCTTGCATGCCTTGGATGATATCGCTCGTCGCCAGATTGGTGAGGAGCTGCGTGGAGTTGTTGATTTGGTGTTTGAGCGGCTCGTAGCCAGCCGGTATTTTCGAGAAAAGAATGATGGCCCGAGTGGAGTCGGTTATGACACCACCCAGGCCTGCGAACCGAGAGAATGCCGCCATGATCTTGGCGAGAGCAGGGTTGGGGTCGGTGTCGGCCGGGATCTGGGTGTTGAGGGCGGTCTTTATCTCGTTGACCGCCGCAGTGATCCCCTGTGCGCCTGAGCGCACCTCCAGTGTGGCGAACATCTGGAGTGCCGTGTCGTTGTTCAGGATGAACTGGTTCATGTCGTAGCTGACACACTCCCTGATCTTGCCGATCGCGGTGTCGTTGGCGTCCTCCCACTTGTTGATCTCGGCCTCGGTCGGAGCCGGGACTGCGGCTAGCATGACTGCGCGGGGCATGCGCAGCGCTCTACCCGCGCCAGAGGCGCGGATGTGGTTCTCCATGCGGGGCTTCCAAAGCAAGAAGTCGGTGCCGGCAAAGATGCCGACAGCGTTCTGGGCTACGGTGAGAGAAGTAGACATTTTTGATGA